TTTTTTTAACTCACACATACTTTTAAAAACATACGCCTCTATGGGCATCATCATCATCATATCGTACCCGGCCGTAATAGGCTCGGTAATAATGTACCCGGCCATGTGGAGCTCGGTAAAACCCAACTGATTTGTGGTTGCACAATAGTGCCGTACCCAGCCGACTATAGCGCAACTCGATAGAGTAAAATAGGTACATATATATAATGCATGTTAGACTCATTGGAATCACATTCTAAACCTTTCAGAGTGACGTAAGGTCGGTAACCTCCATACACGTTATTAGGACTAGCTCTTCGTCATGGATCTTATAAGAATCAGGAAGTATCAACAACATTGATAACATAAGAATAAGAGAAGTAAAATCAACATCAATCGTTTCATAAGAAGGGAAACAATGTAAGTTCTTCTAGCTTCTAAGGGTAGAGTATATTTGGAAGGTCGTTCATTACATTATATACAATCGGAGTCATGCAAAAGAAGTTATAGCCTCACATAACTTGTATATACTTCCCAACCTCAAGCCATGCAAATGTCACGACTCCTTAGTCTACAATAAGAGAAATGATACTATCGTTATCGTTTAAACGTCGTAACTATTATATATCGACCGCAACCTATTTTATGATAAAACAGAGAGCACCTCCCCTATTTATATGACTTTACACAAGTTAAAACAATCCCCAAACATCCCAAACAACATTAATAATAATCATATTAAGCCTCCCAAAATAGTCCACCAACCAACAACATTACTAACAAGCCTTTCGATAGATATCTCACATGTTCTAGCTTCAACAGCTTAGCCGCAACTTGGATAATCTTAAATATATGTAGAGTAAGAGGTTCCTTACCTTTAAATATATATAACAACTCCAATTTGATCATACCTCACCACGAAATATCCTTCCAATGCTGCCACAAGAACAAGGAAGCGAAACTAGCAATCAATTCGGGTTTTTCGTCACTAGAATCACTTTGGAAGTCTTGAAATCAACTAGGGTTGATATTAAATACTTGAGAGAGTATTTTACAGAACTTAAACCACTTAAAACAACATCCCATACGAGCTGGAACAACACAAAAATCAGAAACAACAAGAAGAACAAGAAACTTACTAGCGCTACGGGATTCCCGACCTTGATTTGTGTTGTTTGCCATTTTTTGGGTCTTGGATTATGATATAACCTTGAGAGAGAGTTTTTAGGTGCATAGGGTCTCAAGAAAGTGAAAACTAATGGGTTAAAACGGGCTTAAGGCGCCTCATATATATCAATATATCTCAACCGCTTATGTGGGTCCCATAGAGAGCTGCTTGCGCAGTCTTGCGAAAATGAGAATATCTCTCTATGCCTATGTCGAATCAACAAACGGTTTAATGCGTTGGAAACCAGACTCATAGATATTCAATTTGGTGGGTATATCACCCCGTAATTCTTAGTAAATTGGGAGAAAATCTTATTAATATTTGACCTAAAGTTTAAGTAAAATTATGAACGTAAGTTGCGACAACTTTTGTCGACTTTTGTTTCATAACTTGTTTGACTTAAAGACTTATGATACAGATATTATATGATTCAAATACCTTAATACACGACCTCCAGAGAATATTAAGTACCTTTAGTTTTCCCCAAAAATACGGGTTACAACATACTTGATTCGTTTAACTTCTAATACTTGTTAACCACTCTTATACACCCTTGTATCATTTAAGACCAATAGGATTAACTTCTTATCATCTCAAAGATAATGTCTTCTTGGATTTATGTCGACTAACTTATGGCATGATCTAACGTACGCGAATATGGGATGTAATAATGACGAAGTCGGTTTACTCAATGTAGACGTAAGAAGATCATATTGAGCATGGTTGACGATTGGGGAGAAGATTGCAAAAGTATGTTAAGTCTATCCCTTCTTTTCTTTTGACATGATCCATATGATACAAACGAAACGAGCAAATACATAACTTTCAAAAATGACTATATTCTTAGAAGTACTGGGGTGCCTATGTTCTTGATTCCCCATGTGTCCTATTATTATATCGTCTGTTCATGGANATATATATATATATACATTGACCCATGATCAAATGGCATTATATACATGTATATTATATGTACATGAGGTATGGGGAAAGGTTATGGCTTTATATACGCACCACCACCTGATCAGTTGGTATACGTTGCTGATTTCGCCCACAGAGGCTGAGATGTTATGATGGGATGCCCTCAGAGGCTTGATGATGTTATGTGTGCATATACCTATGCATGATATGACATTTATACGTATATGCATGACATTATAAGTTTTTCATGATTCACAGAGCTATTCAGACTTACAGGTTGAGTTCTTTACTCCATGTTTCTTTCATGTCATTTATATACTTCTTTTATGCCTTACATACTCGATACTTTATTTGTATTGACGTCCCCTTTTCCTTGGGATGTTGTGTTTCATGCCTGTAGGGCCCGATAGATAGGGTGACAGTCCTCCTAGTAGGCTTTCAGCTCAACGGAAGGTGTTGGTTCACTCCACTTGCTCCGGAATTGCCTATTTAGTCAGTATGATTTGGACATATATTGATTGGTATGACGGGGCCATGTCTCGAAATTTATGACGTTTATGTATTCTTAGAGTCTTGTAGACATATATCATTTATATAGATACTTGTACGGCCTTATAGACCTTTGTTGTGATTGTACAAATGATCATGTTAGCCTTATAGGCCCGTATGTCATGTGTATACGTTTGTATATCATGTCGGGTCATCTTATATCGAGTATCCCCTTATGTTTTATTCTGGTTATCACATGACGGCCTTTTCGATTCATTTAGCCATGATAGTACGATAAGAAAGATATGTTACGTTAATACTCGATTGAGTAAGGCACTGGGTGCCCGTCGCGCCCCTTCGGTTTGAGTTGTGACAAATATGGTATAAGAGCAGTTCTGTCCTAGGAATTCTACAAGACATGTCTAGTAGAGTCTTATTTATGGGTGTGTTGTGCACCACACTTGGGAGATCAAACCTCAAATTAGGATCAAGACAGTGTTTAAATTAATTTCTATATCTTAAGTTGGGAGATCTTTTATACCAATAAGCCACCGTTCAAGATACCAATATTCACAATACCAATACCACTGTACTTTTAGCATGGAGTCCGATCACGACCCGATCGGCTAGGCCATCTTATTAGAGATATCAACCACAATCACAATTTCAATTTATAATTTCCAGCACAATCACTACCATGTGTGCGGCATGGCATACGATCATGACCCGAACGGCTAGGCCGTCTCATTCGAGACATCATCCTTTTTATAGCAATCATCTCATTTCATACTTCTTTCACATCTTTTCATTTCATTGGCACTAGTGGCCATAATTATAAAATCATTCTTGGCACGTCTGCCGTATTTAGTA